GGAGTTGAGAAAAAGGGATTATTCTCATTTAAAATGTCTGTGGTTTTCAGATGTTTGCAAGGATAAGGATGTTTTGGAAATTGAGGTTTTGGTCAGAGCTAATTATCTTTGGTGGTTTCAGGAAGGAAATGTTGTTCGGGGACAGGTAGATGAACCGGTGGCTGTGTCTACTAAATTTGAAAGCTAGAAACGATTTAGATAACTTGCACACTCAAGTAATTTTAATTGCTCATGAACGCTCTAGCAATTTAAATTTGGATATGAATGTCAATCGTTTGTGGGACTTTGTGTCATTGCATGTTGGAATGAAAATGGAGGTACTGAGTTATATTATAACTTAGGAAGGTGTTTAACAGTTTGCGAACTGACACACAAAGTTCTCTAACTGACTCACGCTTTTGCAGAGTTGATCCAATGTCTGGACGACAGAAGTTTGTCTCTTGTGATTCGGGAGGCGAAAGACAATGGACGGAGAGCTTTAGAAATCCTCAGACATCACTATCAAGTCAGAGGAAAACCTCGCATCGTCGCTCTTTTCACGGAACTCACTTCGCTGAAGAAAAGTGACGACGAGACTGTCACAGATTATATATTGCGAGCAGAACGATCGGCAACAGCCTTAAGAGAAGCCGAGGAGATAATAAGTGATGCACTACTCATTGCAATTGTTTTAAAGGATCTCCCAAGCACGTACGACGTCTTTGCTACCGTAACAGTTCAAAGTGAAAGACAAATGACATTTACGGAATTTCAAAACTCGTTACGAAGTCATGAAGAAAATATCAAACCATTGTCACCAAAAACTGAGGTAGGTGACAACGCTATGTATGTGAAACCAAAATTTGACGGAAATTGTTTCAAATGTGGAAGAAAGGGACACAAAAGCTCACAATGCCGAGTGAAGGGGAAGAAATGGTGCTCCATATGCGAGACCAAGACCCACGACACGAAAGATTGCCGAAAGACTAAAAAAACGTCCAAGTCAGATAAAGAAGGGCAGCGCTGTGACAGTGAACGGCAACACTCCTTTTTATTCGTGTCAAAGGATGAAGAAGAGAACGCTGAAGCAGACGTGAAGGATGAAGATCAAGCGATTTCACTCTACTGGTGGACACAGGAGCTACAAGCCACATTATTAACGATAAGTCAAAATTTATAGATTTTGATAGTAAATTTGATAGTAAAGCGCATGTTATTGAATTAGCAGATGGCAGTAAAGCCAACATTGTAGTCGGTAAAGGTACTGCTAAAGTCAAATTAGTTGACTTGCATGGAAATGCGCAGGATGTCTTAGTAAGTAATGCCTTATATGTTCCATCTTACGATCAAAATATGTTCTCAGCAAATGCTGCCGTAGAAAAGGAGGCAAAAGTCAAATTAGATAAACACGATAAGCATGTACAGTGCCCTGATGGCACAATGTTTGGAATAAGGCGAAAAGGCAAACTTTACTATATAAATAGCATATCATTTTCGAATAAAAATGCATGTTCTCTTTACGAGTGGAACAAAGTTCTAGGTCACTGCAACTTCAAGGATGTTGGGAAACTAGAGAAGGGGGTTAAGGGGATGAAAATCACAGACTTGAGGGAAGTTGAGTGTGAGGTTTGTAAGCAAGGTAAAATGCGTCAGACGAAAAGTAAGCTGGAAGATAAAAAGGCGAGAGGTCCTCTTGAGTTTATTAACACAAATCTTGCAGGTCCTATTGATCCGGAAGGAAGAGAAGGGTTTAGATATTCATTGTAGTTTGTGGATGATTATTCAGGATTGAATATGGTCTATTTTCTTAGGCATAAAAGCGATACACCACAAGCATTAAAACAGTTTTTAGCAAATGTTGCACCCTATGGAAATGTGAAGTGCATAAGAAGTGATAAAGGCACTGAATTTACAAGCGAGAAATTCAAATCAATTCTTAGAGAAAACAAAATTAGGTATAAAACTAGTGCAACATATTCGCCACACCAGAACGGCACAGTTAAGAGATCGTGGTTTACTTTATTTAACATGGCTATGTGTGTATTGCTAAAAGCGGAAATACCAAAATCCATGTGGACATATGCCGTCATGACATCTGCTTGTATTAGGAATCGTTGTTTTCATTCGAGGTTGAACAAAACTCCGTTCGAAGCGTTTACAGACTCAAAACCAGACTTGAGCAAAATGCACGTTTTTGGTTGTGTTTGTTATGCTTATTCACAAAATTCCAAAAAGTTAGACCCTAGAAGTAAACAAGGTATTTTCGTAGGGTATGATAAAAATAGTCCAGCATATCTACTATACTACCCTGACATTAACAAGGTAGAGCGTGTAAGATGCGTTAAGTTTTTCAGGGAGTGTAGCAGGGAACATCCAGAACTAGATGATGAAGAACTTGCACCTCAGATAAGAAAATTGCATGAAAGAAACCCCAAAACAACTAACGAAGACATTAGTGCTCCAGAGACATCTAGAGAATCAAGATACCCCACTAGGATAAGAAGTAAGCCTAAATATCTTGACGAGTATGTGACAGAAGAAGTTTCAGGGGAGGATACTGTCTCATATACCGTAGATTATTGCTATAGAGTATCCAACATCCTAACGACATATTCCCAAGCAATATGCTCCAATGAAAAAGTAAAATGGCAAAAAGCCATTAAAGATGAAATTAAAGCGTTAATTGACAATGATACGTTTGAACTTGTTCCACCCCAAAAAATAGAGACATAGTGGGGAATGGGTATACACCGTAAAAGTAGGGCAACATTTCGTAAAATAGTAGCAAGACGTTTCCTCTCTTAATCCCCCCTTACAGGCGACCAAGTTTCCCACCCTACGTTATCAAGCATCTTTGCTCACATTAACGCAACTGGAAACACCCCCAATTTAGACGACTTTAAAATAATCTCCTCTTCTAACGATTCTTATGAACTCTCCATTCATGGGAGCCTTCTAATCAATAAATACAAGCCTTCACTAAACGTGCAAGGAAACTCCAATAGACTTAACCTCTTTTAATTTCTCTTTATTTTACTTCCTAACTTTCTTATCATATAATCAATTTGACACCGCCTCCTTTAGTAGTAATTTAACACCTTTTTGTAAATATAATATCTTGTCTTAACATCCTATTTATTATTTGTCTGAAGATGTCTTGAGTAAAGACGAAACGTTACAATAAATTCAATTTTACAATTTTTTTGGTCTATTTCTATGGCTCTAATTAAAACTTTATGTTGGGCATTAATTTTTATTACACGATTTCGTAAAAGCATTATTGCTAATGTGCATTTAATATACACGACAAGTTTTTTTAAAATAGACATGTTTTAACATCTCATAATGCCATCCTCAGTATAAGTGAAATAATAATTGATGCAAGATTTATATAAAAGTAATATGATACATAAATTACAACAATAAAAAGGAAATAAGATAAATTAATGGGGAGCGTCCGAATGTACTAAAAATTCAATACAATATCTAGTTTATAATTATCTTATTTCCTTTTTATTTGAATGTTTTATGCAGTGCGGTGTTTGAAATTAAATGAGATATGATCTTCGCATTTAGCTGGACAATTTAAGCAATCGTCTCAGGACCTGAAATCAGGTGATTCGGATTGACCCATGATCTGCAGTGCCGGTGCAGTGCTCTGACCACTGAGCTATGAAGTCACACAGTGGTGAGCAGGTCAATATTGTTGGGCTCATGTTTTCTGCACCGCACTGCATAAAACATTCATATGACATTCATTTCACGAGAAACATGAGCCCAACAATATTGACCTGCTCACCACTGTGTGACTTGGTCAGCACTGCACCGGCACCGCAGAGGTCATGGGTTCGAATCCCGAGTCACCTGAATTTTCAGGTCCTGAGACGATTGCTTAAATTGTCCAGCTAAATGCGAAGATCATATCTCATTTAATTTCAAACACCGCACTGCATAAAACATTCATATGACATTCATTTCACGAGAAAACATGAGCCCAACAATATTGACCTGCTCACCACTGTGTGACTTCATAGCTCAGTGGTCAGAGCACTGCACCGGCACCGCAGAGGTCATGGGTTCGAATCCCGTTGAGTCACCTGATTTTTCAGGTCCTGAGACGATTGCTTAAATTGTCCAGCTAAATGCGAAGATCATATCTCATTTAATTCCTTTTTATTGTTGTAATTTATGTATCATATTACTTTTACATAAACCTTGTATCACTTATTATTTCACTCATACTGAAGATGGCATCATGAGATGTCGAAACATGTCTATTTTAAAAAAAACTTGTCGTGTATATTAAATGCGCATTAGCAATAGTGCTTTTACGAAATTATCTATGAATATCATATTTCCTCTACAGCCTCGTGACCATGCACATGATGTGTATCAATGTAGAACATTACTATTATATAGTAGAAATTTATTCATTTTTATTATTATATAAAGATATATGAAAGTTAACAAGTTAATTTTCCAAACTTGATTCGAGCTAGTTCCAAATCTCACCAAAATCAACAAATTTATCTTTATAAAACATTTACATACGTACATAACGCGGAAGTAGAATATTTTACAGAAAAACAAAATTATCGAAAAATGGACATGAAACATTAAATCACAAAATCAAAATACAATATAACAACGAAAGGTAAAGTTTAAAATCAACATACCTTCACAAGTTCAGAAAGATTACAAGACGCAACCAACTACATGATATCTCATGTGCGGCGTTCTTGTTGATTCTGTGGAAAAATTTAAATAATTTACGCTTCCGGTCACATGAGATATGTTACCCTTACCCTAGGTAAAAGGCTCCTACAACATACCGGAAGAAAAACCCCTTTCGTTTTACCAACTAAACAAATCACTCTGAAGATGACAACCGCTAAGGTTGTCGAAACGTCAGTCAACAACAACAAAAACAGTCCTTCTCAGGACTATACCAACCTGGACGATCTACATTTACAAACATGTTACAAACATCAAACATATCTCCCCATTCGTCTTATGAGACGTGGCTAAAAGCCGGTAAAGTACGGGTACAAAACGTCGGCTGGTAGTCGTGGGAGATACATACGTTGTACTTTGGTCGTTTAACTTATGTTATTGTGTCATTGGTAATATCGATAATATTTTCTGGTTTGTGATTTTCTTGCTCGTAATTTTAAAAGATGCTAAGGTACACAAATTTTGGCCTTATAGCTGTTAGACTTTTCAACATTTATTTTCATTTTATAGATTTTTATGATAATTTTTGTAGGAGCAATAAAAGGTTTAAAGCAACTGTAGCTGTCACATATCATGATGAGGATGGCCATGTTGAGAGAGAGGAGGTGGATTTGTCAGAATTGGTTACTGAGGATCATAGAGGAAGCTGTTCTTTTAACAGTCCTGATAATTGTGGTGCATTGGAAGGCCATGAACTGGGAATGGAACAAGATAACAGTGATCTTGAAAGGGATGTTCACCATGATTGTGAAGAATCATCTTCTTATTACCAGAAAGTTGAAAGAAAACAAAAAGCATGGGAAAATTTGCGGCATTCAATTATAAAGAATACATTTCAGTTAGCTGGCAAAAATTGGAGCAATCTGAAGTGTATTCATTGTGATAATGAAGCAAAGTTTAGGTGCAGTGATTGTGGTCCAAGGGCAAAGTATTGTGAGAACTGTATGTTAAAGATGCACACAACCGTAAATATTTGTCATCATGTTGAAATATTTAAGGTAACCTTTATGAGCTAGATATTATAAAAGTGTTTACAGTTAACTCTCTCAACACTTGCAACAAAAAATGCAAAAATAAAATGAGAGTTTACATTGTGAAACATGCTACGAAGTACTAATCTAATATTTTTTATGAATTCAAGAAAAGGGATTGATTACAATTAGTTTCTACGAGGTTATTCATTGAGACGTTTGGCGTGAAAAATTCATGGACCGGTCAACACCCCTGGCGGGGATTAATATGGCCGGTATATAAATGTTGTTTGTTTGTTTTGTTTTGAGGTTATTCATTGCTTTGTAGGATGGCATGTTTTGGCCATATAAACTCATGAACATGCTGGTGTATGATTGTTCATGCCAAACAGCTCGTCACAAAAGAAGTGTTTCTGTTGTTGATGTTAAAGGTATGTTATATGTAAAATGTGCTGCAAAAGTTTTTTCATTTTAGCTGGGATGGTTCAACACAATTATAATTTTGGATCTTTTTCAATTTTTAGGCACCTTTTGTACTGTTGAGGTACAGTTTTGCTCATGCTCTCCAGAGTTTGTTCAACTTCTGCAATTTGGCCTTTGGGGTGGAACACCTACAAAACCAAGAATTGCATTTGCAATTGAGTTTTTTCAATTGATTCATTCTGTGCAGATGGAATGCCAGGCATCAATAAAAGCATTTGTCAGTCATTTGAAGAGTTTAATCATAACCACATATTCTCTTTTTATGCAACACCAAAAATGTATCCTGTCATTATAGATGCTTTTGAAGAATATAGGTAACTGCATGTAGGTCACTGATTTATTGCACTGCTGTACTACGTAAGAATTGCTGGGAAAGTTGCAGTCAATTTTATAGCCTAAGAATCTCATCTTAAGAGATGTATTTAATTGGAGGAAAGCAAAATGCTAAAGTTTATGATGGGAAAGGACTTTTCCTCAAGTATTACTGTCTTGCACTGTATTTTGTTTATGTCATTTGTTTAAGAGTGCATAATTGCTTTCTTTGTGTCATTGTTTTTTTCAGAATTTACAGACATAAACTAAACATGTTGAGCTGTGTTATTCCTGAGCTTGATGAAGGAAATATCTCTCCTACTTGTCCCAAAGTGAGTATATTCGTATTACTTGTTTAACAATGACAATTTAGTAAAAAGAACATTAGCAATGCTATCTCAAACACCTTTTTGACTGCATCATTTGCATCATTGAACTCAAATTGCATGATTTTATCCTTCACCCTTTTATTGAAAACTGATGGTGTGACTTTGAGTCTACTGATTCTCTATTTATTGGAAATTTTTTAAGTTGTTGCTGTGTTTTCATTTTCTGGTAAAATCCCTTTTTGTAGTGTATTCCAAAACTGTGGTAATACATATGCCAGGTTAACAACATTATCTGAGATCCAACATCCAAGTACAATTCGTAAGTATGCGCTGTAATGTGTGTGATTGCTTTGGTATATTGATGGAATATTCTTTGTGGTTGGCTTAGAAAATGATAGCATGCTCTTGAAAAAGGCATAGTTATAGCTTGATATAGCCATCATAATCATTACAACCACGCCACAAACATTGCTACATGTTTGGAATGGATACGCTTTCGAACAATTGTCTGTGCACTTTTGTCCTCCTCTAACCCGGCATCTACTATCAGGATCATGTGTCATTGTTACTGAGTAGTTGGCTATGCTGTCCCAAATATTATGTGCCTTGATGAATTTATCTAAAATGTGTAGAAGAGTGTTCGGAAATTGCCAGCCTAATGAATCCCCATATGTAATGTTTTTGTCATTAGTGTCTACATAGCAAAGTACCCAATGGTTTCCGGGGGTGCAAATCATCTCCAAGGAATGTGTTGCCATTGCTTTTTTTCACCAACATTTATGGCAAAACAGAATTTTTGAAATGAATTCATTTTAATCATGGTGTAGGGCTGTTGTGGGTGGTTTTGTTCCATTGAGGTACACATAATATGCATCTGTTTTCTTTTGGTTTAGGTTTGTTGTCAACCAGCATATGTGGTCACTTGACACCCATCTGTCAACACATAACCTGGACATCTCATTGGATGACAATCCTCGTTCTTTCATAATCTCACTATATGGGGTTCTGTACAAAAGCTTCTGAAAGGCTGTAATTGAAGCAGCTGATGGATGTTCCACCACCGTGTCTGGTTTGTTCAATGGTCGTGAAAACCAGGCAATTTCCTCTTCGACTTCTACTTGTATGCTTTTTAAGGTGTGAAATTTCTGCAGATTGGTGATGCAATTGATATCTAACCTTCCTTGTGATGTGTTGATACATGCTCCTTTGCTTGTACTTGATGCCTCAACTATTTTTCTCCATTGTTGCAACTGGTCCATACTTGGCATAGATGTTACATGGCAAGGATCAACAACTGAATCATCATCTGTACTGCAATTTACACCTTTGGTAAACCATTTCTCAATCTTTGGCAACAAAGACTCAAAAGCCTGACCTCTAGTTAGCTTGCTCAGTACGGGCTCTATCTTTTTTGAAGCTTTTGTGAGAGACAAAACCTCCAAATAAATTATGTACATATAATTAACAAAACTAATTTCCATTTCAATATTATGAATTTTTAATGCATCCTATGTCATGTCAGGGCCTATATTTATGTTGCCTTGCACCACCATCCCCATTGCACTGCAAAGGTCTGAACTAAATAACCTAAATAACTGCATAAAATTTGCAAGTAGTGCAATGCAGTGAAAGTTCCGGGGTAAGTCAGAATATGTTTATGTTTAGTAGCTTATTATAAATTTAAAATACTATAATAACAACACTGCTGATATTGTTATAATTATTACCAATCATTTCCAAAGTATTGCCAATACGGCAGTTGTCAAGTAGTTTCATGTATTCTGACTTACTCTACAGCGAAAGTAGTGTTTGCAATTCAGTTATAATGTATGTGCTTATGCTTAGTGTGATGAAGCAATTAAACTTGCAAAACCTTCGTATTGTTATTTCACATACCACTTTTCACGAATAATAAAGAACTTAAAACGTTAAGATATTTAGCTTTATTATAGAGCAATACAATGGAAGGAGAACAAGAAAGTTGACAATGCGCATAGGATGATGTTTTTTTACAAAAAAAAGTTAAAGTGGGTAAAATCGTATTTCGCGGCAAGACGATAAAACAATTCGCGCGAGTAACGATGGTGACATTTAATATTTATCTTTCAGTTCACGTTTCACGTGACAAATTTCAATATGGCTTCTGTGCTCCGATCTCTCGATTTAGCTGCAAGTCCTAAATCGTTGTTGTCTTATCAAAGTGATTATTCTGATGAAGAGAGAAGTAATAAAGGTAAATCTAAAGAAGGTGAAAAGTCAATCGAGAGAACTGTCAATATGGATGCTCTAAAATCTAAGTTTCTTTTAAACAGCGCGCCAATTGTTGATGGTAAGGTAAAGTGTAATAGTTTTTATCCAAAGTCCTAACTAGGCAACTACCAACACCAAGGCTAAATCTATGATACGATTTGTTATCTTTTAAAGGAAGGAATTAATTGGAAAAGACACATCGATCCTTCAATGAAAGAAGTTACATTTAATGCAAAGTATGACGAACTCTTTTCTGCTTCGGTACGTTAATAATTTAATTATTGTCACCATTTACATGCACATGGACAAAATCATGATTTTGAAGAAGTCTACTATTTTAGATTGGACCTCAAAATCCATTTAAAACGAAGCAGCAAAGAGCACATAAAAATATGTTGTTTGGCTATGTTGAGCCAGTTCATATCAGTAAATTTCAATTTGATAATCAACTAAAAACATTCTCAAGTTACGGTAAGAGCAAAAGCAAGCATAGTTTGAGAAAAAATGTGTTTGTTAATGAGTTATGTGTGATCTTTTTGTTTTTAATAAATCACAAGTTATGCATTAGATCCAAGTGATGACACAGCTCACTTTGAAGAGAAGTTAGTTACAATATATGTATATAATGTTACAATGTGCTTATAACATAACTATGATATAGCATACATCTTCAACGATAGTCATGTTAGTGCAAGAACACACATCTCTCCAAAATTTTATGTGTTTTACATTGTGGGGATGATTTATTGTAGTGTAGATTGATACTAAAACCCAATACAAACCAACTTTTTCATCCTTTATTACTTTCCGGACTAACTTTTTATACATAATTCAAAATATGTAGAGGGTATTGAACACTCCTACATCAAACATGTTCCTCAATGAATGCATCAAGTCCTAAATAGAATAATGCTGAAGTATTATATCACTCAATTACTTTGAAATGATTCAAGCTGATAAATGTTTATTTGAGTGGAATATGATGAATGTGCTTTGTCATGAAATTACCTTAAAAACGTAATGTAGTACATGGCTCTTAAGTATTAGTTAATAGACTTGGTAATGTTTTATGTTTATATCAATTGTTATCCATTAAGATTTGTTGGGGATGTTGAGAAAGCAAAGGATAGCAAGGGATTGACTGTGTTTGAAGCTACAAAACAGCAGGTGGGAGATAAGAAGAAGAGAGAGGATAGGGGAGATCCTGGTGTGATTGATGGATACAAGGGTGCGATTACAATAATGATAACTTTTGAAAGGTTGTCCTACTATCTCTTATTCTCTTTTATCCTATAGGACAATGGAGTAAGTTTTTTGATGAAGAAACTATTGCTAAACCATCTGAGGTATTTCAATTACCCAAATAAAGAGTTTTATAAAGATATTTTTCAAATCAAACAATTATTTTGGACAATACTTGAGGAGTATGATTTATCGAGAAAAAACAAATCAAAGAAAGATGATGTGAAACCTTCAAAAGAGAAATCCACATTACACAGTAAGTTAGAATTTTTATACTTTCTTGTAGTTTCCTAAACTTTACCAAATGTAATTATTTTTTACTGAAAGATGCATATGACAGTCAAGGAAGATCATATCTTCACGTTCCCCAATATCTTGGCATTAATCTCAAGTCAGATACTCCTCCAGAACGTTGCTTTCTGCCAAAACAACATATTCATACGTGGTATGTAAACAATTCTCCGTTTAGTTCATTTATTCAAAATCAAAAAATGGAAGTTAAAATACCAGAAATGACGTTAAACACACTACTGAATTTTAGTTGTTCTTGCTTTTGTTTGTTTTCTGTTACTTTACTGTAAAACAAAAACGGAAGAAATATGAAAGTTTACTTGCTAAAATGTAATTGAAAACGTCATGGAACGTCTGACTTTGAGTCATCAATATGCTTTAAATTTTGTAGATTTTAAGGAAAACACGCAATAATTGAATTAAGTTTAAAGACAGTTAATGATATAATTCTTGATGGTATTGAGGAAGTTCAATTATACATTACAGTATTCATTAGAGAAAGCGTCTCATCCAAATATAAACTTAAAATATGAGCGTTTTTTTAATACGATGCTTCTGTTTGAGTCAAGACGTTTAGGTGATCATTTGATATGTTTATAAAATCATATTTATCAGTGTATTATTTATTATAAAGTAATGATTTGTTCTAGTACTACGTACGTATGTTTGTAGATATTGTATTGGACTTCCTTAGCACTTGTTTTAAGAAACACGGCTAACCTGACATTTACTTATCATTTGACTCTGAAGATGACTACTGCTAAGGTTGTCGAAACGTCAGTCAACATCAACACCAACAGTCCTTCACAGGACTCTACTAACCTCGACAAAAACGTAACGATACTTCCTGATGCAAATATTCACTTTATACAGCACTTTTTAATAACATTTAAGTATTTGTTTTCCTGTAGTTCATCCTTCTACCGTCGTGATAAAAGAAAGCAATGGAGATATTCTTACTTATGTATTATTGTATTATTTTATCTTTCTCTTAGGTCTGGTCACACTAAAGGTGTTTCTGCAATAAGATTCTTTCCGAATTCTGCTCATCTTCTTCTTTCGTGTTGCATGGATTGTAAAATTAAGGTAGCTAAAAAGTCATTTTCTCTGTCTTACATGTCGTTGTTCATTTTGAGTTTGGTTGTACATCTTTGAATGTTCCTTCAACATTACTGGAGGTGAGAATTTTTAATAAGTTACCATCACGACAAGCAATACATTTGAAACAATACATTTCCTTTCAGAAACTGCAAGATGATATTCATGTAAGCTCCATTTGGTTACAGGTCACATTTTTATTAATTCAAAAAATTGTTGAAACAATAACATTTGCATTTTGTTGTATAGTTTGCATAGTACATAGCGTTCCTTCTTAATTCTTTACTTTCCTAAATGGGTCTTGATATCTTGGGTTATTATATGTTCAATAAGTTTGATTTATTTTAGAATGTTAGAGGAGATATTAGACACACGTATTATGGTAAAGAAAGCTATGAAAGATTGTAAAGATGATAAAGTAAGTTGGTTTTCTTAGACCTTTGTTTTTGAAGCGATCTTTGATGTTTTTATAAGATCCAGTAGCTAAAACGTCATGGAGTTTTCATCATGTTCAAAAAAGATGCCTTTCCACTCTTCGTTTGTTTTCTTGAATCATTCAATATCATAAATAATTTACATTTTAGACTCTTCTTCAACTTCTTGATGCTCGACAACTTGCTTTAAAGTTAATTGCAAATGTCACTTATGGTTACACATCAGCGAACTTCTCAGGACAAATGCCTTGTGTTGAGGTAACTTTGATCTTGTCATGATAGAAATTTAAACAAACGATAACTCTCCCCATTCCATCTAAACAGACCTTGTGCCGTAAACTTTGTAGTCATGATAGAAATTTAAACAAACGATAGCTCTCCCCATTCCATCTAAACAGACCTTGCGCTGTAAACTTTGTATTAATTGATTGTATCTATATTATATATATTATATATTTACCAATACACATATATATTTTAGATACAATAGATATATAATATATTTACTACAGATAATTGGTAAATATATAATATATATGATATAGATACATGTTGATTATTATGATTATCGTGAGCGTGGACTTAGTAACATGCTCAAATTGAAAATCTATCAAGTGCTTATTGTCATACTGGATTCATTTTACTCTTAAAAACATTCTTTTCTGGTTTTCATCAGATTGCTGACGTCATTGTTCGTAAAGCACGCGAGACCCTGGAACGAGCTATCCATCTCGTGAAACAAAGGATGAGTGGGGTGCTTGTGTGCTATATGGGAACACCGATAGTCTTTTCCTATTAGTAAAAGGTGCCAGTAAAGAGGAAGAGTTTAAGATTGGAAAAGAAATTGTTGATGCTGTTACTGCAGAGAATCCTAAACCTGTGAAACTAAAGTTTGAAAACGTTTTTATCTACTGTAAAATTGTATCTATTTGAGAGATTTGGACTTTAAGATACATTTATGTATAACTAGGGATTATTTTTAGGTATATATGCCTTGTGTTTTTCAAACAAAGAAACGTTACGTTGGTTATATGTACGAAACATTAGAACAGAAAAATCCAGTGTTTGATGCGAAAGGAATAGATACATGCCCAGCGGTCGCTAAGGTGTGGAACAATTGACAATATTTACTGTGTCATTCAATCACACAAGATTCTGCACGGTGGAGGGGTAGTTTTGAGTTTAAAGCTACCTATTTTTGTATAGACGTCATTTGTCACATGATCGTCACGCGGAACCTCGCGTGGGGGAACGTGTACCTTACGTTATTGTTAACGGCAGACCTGGACTACCATCGATTCAATTGGTTAAAGAGTAAGTTCAAATTTTGCTGTCATTCATTATTTTACGTAATGTATCATGACAAAAGCTGTTGGAATGTTATTAATAAATACTTTAGTATAAATATGATTGTCTTCATTAAACAATCTTCTTGTTTTAATTTTCTTCAGTCCTATTGATGTGTTAAATGTTAAAAATCTACGCCTCAATACCATCTACTATGTTCAGAAACAAATACTTCCTCCATTGGATCGAGTTTTTTCCTTGATTGGTGTTGATGTGTTTCCATGGTATACACAACTACCCCGCTATATCCCTCGACATCGTGTTATTGCAAGGAAACAAAAAGTTAGTTGACATAAGTACATTCATAAATTGATGCAAAAGCTAAATTAATTTATTTTAACAAATTTTAGCATTCGATATCTCGGTTTTTTACAACATTACACTGTCCTGTATGTGAAGAATTAACACAGCACGGTTTGTGTCAAAGTTGTCGTAGCAACCCTCAAAAGTCTGTCTTTATTCTGGGAAGTAGAGTGGGGAACTGGGAAAGAAAATACAGTCATCTTAAAGAGGTATGCATAATAAATAACCTAATAATGATCGTTTGTCTTTTTCATGACATTTAATTTTTTTTCATATTGTAGATATGTTTTCAGTGTTGTGGAGCTAGAGATGAAAAACTGAGCTGTATATCACTGGATTGTCCTGTTATGTTTAAACTAGAGAAGTTAAAAACAAATATGGAATATGGAATGACATTAAAAGACTTTCAAAAAAACAATTGAAGAATGTTATGGTCAGTCAGAGGTAAACAATATAACCACCAAATGCTGATGGTATATCATCATCGTTGAAATCTTGATGAAATAGAGATTTCACATTTTTCACTAGAGCATTTTCTTGGCGAAGCACATTTGTTATAGATTTAACTTTGTGAGGTTAAACCAAAGCCAAAAATCACTGAAATTGTATAAACAACGATAACTCGCCGCATTCCATTGTAACAGACCGTGCCCAAACTTTGTATTGATTAATTGTATCTATATTATATATTCATTTATGTATTTGTTTTATTATTGATTAATATATTTTTACGTAAATATATAATATAGATACAATCAATCAATACAAAGTTTGTTCCATGGAGTGGAGTTATCGTTCAATTTCAGTGATTTTTCACCATGGTTAAACTTTGTAATTTAAACATTCATATTTTTATAGTACAAATCTAAAGGGTTTTGGAATTCCAGTAAGTTATAATGGATCATAATGGATCATCATTTCGCTATTCTGTCAAGGATTGCCATCTAATACAGGTATAAATGTACATAAATGATCACAAGAAATATTTTTTTGCTCAATTAACAAAACTTCTTTGGATATACTAAACAATGTCATTTCTATTATTAGTAAAATATCTTTTGTTTCTGGACCACTAACATTGTTTCATTGTAACTCATTATTTTCGATATCAACAGACACATAAATGCAAGCAAAAAATGAATTAAGCATAGACGGACAAACAACGAAGCACGCAACATAGATATCAAAATAAGCCGAATAACAAATAGTCACTTTTAAACAACTTTCATGTTAATAAAATTTTTAATTCTTCAATTCATTTAACGTTTCACCAGGTTGGTTGCTGACGCATTCGACAATTGTTTGTTTAATGTGCTTATAGCGTTTTAAGTTTTCTTTTTAATAATTATACAGAATGTATCATTGAAACATTCTTTAAGTAGTATAGTACATGGGGGTTCGAGAGCACAAAAAGTGCTCTCATATCCCCCATGTACGATACTACTTTTAACCGTGGGTAAAAACTATCTTTATAACAGCGCAAAATAAGACCATGGCTCAAAAGGCGTCCCTCAGCAAAAGGCCATGTAAAGAAAGCTGCGTAAAAAAGTCATTGTTTCAAAGTAGTGTGAAAAAGGCCGTGTTTCAAAGGGGGGTAAAAATCTCGAGGTTACAATCTGTCGTTTAAAAATATGGAATCTATATGTTTTAAAAACTATCTTTAGAAATAAATGTTAAGAAAGCATCGTTTCGGAGGGGGCTCGGCAGCGCTGAGCACGAAGTGCTCGAGCAGGGGGATGGAGCCCCCGAGAATTCATGCGAGCCCGGTGGGTAAAAAATTCTAGCTTTAGCTAGAATTTTGGCTCGCCCCGTGGTGTCCAAAGGACGACAGAGGCTTAAAAAATGCTCTTCAAAAATCAAGTGTTAATAATCAAGTGTTAATAAAGCATCGGTTTTGATGGGGCTTGGCAGCGCAGAGCATGATGTGAATATTACGAAGTAATATTTACTCCATGCTCGAGCAGGGGATGAAGCCCCATCAAATTCTAGGCGATTTGTGGGAAAATTTTTCACGAAGTGAAAATTGGGGTCCTCCATTATTTCGATGAATATTCGAAGAATATTCATCGAATAACAGAGGCTTAAAAAATGCTCTTCAAAAATCAAGTGTTAATAATCAAGTGTTAATAAACATCGGTTTTGATGGGGCTTGGCAGCGCAGAGCATGATGTGAATATTACAAAGTAATATTTACTCCATGCTCGAGCAGGGGATGAAGCCCCATCAAATTCTAGGCGACGGTGGGAAAATTTTTCACGAAGTGAAAAATTGGGGTCGCCTCCCATTGGATTCGATGAATATTCGAAGAATATTCATCGAATAACAGAGGCTTAAAAAATGCTCTTCAAAAATCAAGTGTTAATAATCAAGTGTTAATAGAGCATCGGTTTTGATGGGGCTAGGCAGCGCAGAGCATGATGTGAATATTACGAAGTAATATTTACTCTATGCTCGAGATGGGGATGAAGTCCCATCAATTACATATTATTATAATAATAATATACCACATTTGTGAAAATTGGTATATTATTTAATATATTATTATTTAATATATAAGTATATTATTAATAATATTATATAATATTACAATAACATATATTATAATAATTTTGATTTAATATTATAATATTATTAATAAAATTTTGTCTGCTATTATATCATAAATAATTAATTCAGCAGACATTTTAAGCACATCATACCATTACCAGAAACTAAGTTGCTCAGAATACCTAAGTCTCGAGAAGTCAAGCATATTATTATATATATTTAATAATATTATTAGCAAATGGGGTTGGTGATATATATAATATTATATATATATATATATATATATATATATATATTAATTATATATATATTATATATAAATGTGAATTAATGTGAATTAATTTACATTAATTCACCCATTAAATATGATATAAATAGTAAATATTAATTAGATATAAATATTATATCTCAACGTAATAATATTATGTTGAGATCTATTATAATATAATTATTTAATATATTATAATATAATTATTTAATATAAATATATTAAATAATTTTCACAAAAGACATTAATTCACATATTTAATAATTACTATTCCATAATAATAATTATTTTGGCACCACATTGGGCACCACATTTAACACAACATTCATCACCACATTCAACTAAAATTTATCATTCCAAATGATAAATCTAAAATGGGAATAATTATTATAATATTATTATTGTTGTTACAATCCGCAATGCAATGACTTGATTAGGGCCAAATCGTTTTTTGGTAGATACGATTTCGCTCGAAATACAGCATGTGTGTGTGTCCAGTGACCAACTTGCTTTCTATCATAGTCTGCACTTCAATTGAAAGTTTTATCTTTCAATTTTATTTTATTTTATTATATTATACTTTTAATTTTATTTAATTTTATTTTATTATGAAAGTTTACAAATTTTCACAACTTTTCACAAAAAGACATTAATTCTTGCATTATCACAAATTTTCACAATTTTTCACAAAAAGACATTAATTCACGCATTTTCACAAATTTTCACAATTTTTCACAAAAAGACATTAATTCACGCATTTTCACAAATTTTCACAATTTTTCCCAAAAAGACATTAATTCACGCATTTTCACAAATTTTCCCAATTTTTCACATAAAGACTATAATTCACGCATTTTGACAAATTTTCACAATTTTTCCCAAAAAGACATTAATTCACGCATTTTCACAAATTTTTACAAATTTTATTTTACAAAGCAGGGGATGAAGCCCCATCAATTAAATATTATTATAATAATAATATACCACATTTGTGAAAATTGGTATATTATTTAATATATTATTTAATATGTAAGTATATTATTAATAATATTATATAATATTATTAATATATATTATTAATAATATTATATATATTAATAATATATATAATACAATAACATATATTATAATAATAATATATTACGTAATGATTACATATTATTTGGTTTACAGTAAAATGGGATTCCCATTGATTCATGAATATTCAAGAATACTCATCTAATAACAGAGGCTTAAAAATGCTCTTCAAAAATCAAGTGTTAATAATCAAGTGTTAATAAAGCATCGGTTTTGATGGGGATTGCAGCGAGAGCATGATGTGAATATTACGGCAATATTTCATGCTCGAGCAGGGATGAAGACCCATCAAATTCTAGGCGACGGTGGGAAAATTTTTCAAAGTGAAAATTGGGGTCGCCTCATTGATTCGATGAATATTCAAGAATATTCATCTAATAACAGAGGCTTAAAAATGCTCTTCAAAAATCAAGTGTTAATAATCAAGTGTTAATAAAGCATCGGTTTTGATGGGGCTAGGCAGCGCAGAGCATGATATGAATATTACGAAGTAATATTTACTCCATGCTTGAGCAGGGGATGAAGCCCCATCAATTACATATTATTATAATAATAATATACCACATTTGTGAAAATTGGTATATTATTTAATATATTATTATTTAATATATAAGTATATTATTAATAATATTATATAATATTATTAATATATATAATATTATTAATAATATTATATAATATTACAATAACATATATTATCATAATTTTGATTTAATATTATAATATTATTAATAAAAATTTTGTTTGCTATTATATCACCATATAATATTACAATAACATATATTATAATAATTTTGATTAAATATTATAATATTATTAATAATATAATATTATTAATAATATTAATAATATAATATAATATTAATAATAAAAATTTTGTCTGCTATTATTTTGGCACCACATTGGGCACCACATTTAACACAACATTCATCACCACATTCAACTAAAATTTATCATTCCAAATGATAAATCTAAAATGGGAATAATTATTATAATATTATTCCCATTTAATATTATTATAAATGGGAATAATTATTATATATTCCCATAAATTAATTTGTAAAATTTGAAAATAGAATTAATGTCTTTTGTCAAATTCATTTAAATATAATGTATATATTTAAATATAGTATTAATTTAAATATATACAAATAATTTAAATATATTAAATAATATATGAATAATTAATTCACAAAGACAATAATTCCGCATTTTCCAAATTTTCAATTTTTCACAAAGACATTAATTCACGCATTTTCACAAATTTTCACAATTTTTCACAAAAAGACATTAATTCACCCATTTTCACAAATTTTGAAAGTATTCAACTCACATCTTTGTGGCTTTCCAAGACGCAGGATGCTTTAACAATCACTAACAAACTATACATGTCTTTGACCATGCTAATTTAAGTCGAATTTATGTTGAGATCAATAACACTCAAAAGTATCCTGAAAAAGAGCTTGATGTTAATTACACAGCTAATAACAGCACTTACAGAGAGCGTACATGATGTTTCAAGGCTGCAATAATTAATAATTACAAATATTATAATAATATATACAAATAATTTAAATATATTAAATAATTTATGAATAATTATAAATATTATTATGGTAAATAATAATTCCAATGGCTTTTTATGTTTATTAATATAATAATCAAATAATAATATATTAATAATTATAATATATTATTATAATTATTGATATAATTGTAATTATATGTAATAATATTATGGTAATAATATTGGAATTATTATTACCATAAGCAAATAATAATTATTATTATTTTTTCACAATTTTTCACAAAAAGACAATAATTCACTCATTTTCACAAATTTTCACAATTTTTCAAAAGACATTAATTCATGCATTTTCACAAATTTTCACAATTTTTCACAAAAAGACATTAATTCTTGCATTATCACAAATTTTCACAATTTTTCACAAAAAGACATTAATTCACGCATTTTCACAAATTTTCACAATTTTTCACAAAAGACATTAATTCAGCATTTTCACAAATTTTCACAACTTTTCCCAAAAAGACATTAATTCAAGCATTTTCACAAATTTTCACAATTTTTCACAAAATGACAATAATTCACGCATTTTCACAAATTTTCAAAATTTTCACAAAAAGACATTAATTAACGCATTATCACAAATTTTTACAATTTTTTACAAAAAGACATTAATTCACGCATTTTCACAAATTTTCACAATTTTTCACAAAGAGACATTAATTCACACATTTTCACAAATTTTCGCAATTTTTCACAAAAAGACATTAATTCACTTATTTTCACAAATTTTCCCAATTTTTCACATAAAGACAATAATTCAAGCATTTTCACAAA